TAAGTAAGTAAGTAAGTAAGAAGGTAAGTAAGTTAGTAAGTAAGTTAGTAAGTAAGTAAGTAAATAAGTAAGTGAGTAAGTGAATAAGTAAGTAAGTAAAGCAAAAGAGAAAAACCTTTTTATTACTGTATCAAGATCTTTAAAAAATATAATTAATTTTGTCCGTCGCTGGCCTGCAGATGTGCCATGCAAAGTTTCCTGGGCAAAGATAAATTCCTCAATGAGCTAGAGTTTTTTAACACGGCCTAATGAAACTGAACAAGCTATAGGTAACTTTCCTCCTGGACATGGGGTGCCGGTCACCTTCCCCTCAACTCAGAGTAAGTCTGTTTCGTGTTCTATCTATCTGTCACTCAGTCTATCTGTCTATCTGTCTATCTGTTTATCTATCTATCTATCGTTCTATCTATCTATCTATCTATCTATCTATCTATCTATCTATCTATCTATCTATCTATCTATCTATCTATCTATCTATCTATCTACCTATATGTGTTTTGTTTTTATTGTTTAAGTCTGATTTCATTCATTGCTTTATTGTTTTCATTAATTTATTCATTCATTCTTTCATTCAATCCTTCTTTCATTCATTCATTCATTCATTTCTTCATTCAATCAGTCCTTCATTCACTCATTAGTTCCCTCTTTCGGTCATTCATTCATTCAACCATGTCATAATGGGTAAAGTATTCCCCTCACCTGAGAGACTGCGGACATTTCCACGGGCAGGTCATATTCCACACTGGTGTAGTCACATTCTGTCGTCCCCACAGGCTCGCCGTTCACGAAAGCGGTCACGCTACAGCTGTCGTATGTGTAGTTGAGCACGTCAGACCCTGTGAGACTCACCCCGAGACTCTCAGAGATGTTGGGGGGAGGGGAGCACTTGAAGGGAACAGGGAAACCTGCGGGGGAGGGGGGGTGAGGAGAGATGGGTTAGGGGGGAGTGGGGGGTGTGATCCAAAGAAAAGCGTTGATAGAAAATAGATGAAGGTCTGTTGTACGTTGTAAGGTTCATGTTACTATGTTTCAACCCCCCGCTCACATCTGTCTGTCTTTTTAAACATTTGCAAACCGTGCATCTTCTTATAATGAATGGTCAAACAGTACGTACGATAAAACTAAAATCCCCCTTCCCCCGAGCCCCAACCCCTAAGAAAAAAAGATTTTTTTTTTTCATTAACAAAATTACAAACCAATCTTAAATGAAAAACTTATCTCCGAAGGCAACAAGAGCACGACATGGCGTTCCAACAGAAAAACTGAGATACTCAACAAAATTCTCCCAACTCAAGAATGGAATTCAAGTCCCCTGCTTGCCACAGTGGCGTGCCTAACCATCTACACCACAGACACCATGCTGTGGATCAAACCCTACCCCCCCCCCCAAAAAAAAAAAAGAAACAAAAATTATAATTCGAACTTTAAGTTTAGTATGACTTTACAAACAATGTGTGAAACGTGCTGACAAAATGAGTTACTTCTTTTATTTAAGCCGTATGGAAATACAGTCGAACCTGCCCTGACGGCCACCTCTATAAGACGGTCACCTGTACAAACGGCCACTTTCCGTTTCCCCCCTTGCGTTTTTTCTATATAATTTAACTGTGTAAAACGGGCACCTGTTCAATGCGGCCGCGGCCACCATATTTCAACACACAACCCCTATCCCACTAAGCAATAACACCCGTCTAAGACGGCCACCTTAGTGACTCCATTTCGTTTAGTCATAAATTGTGCATTGGCCCCTGGCGTTGTCGTCAAGCCGTCATAATTCAATCACCTGTCGCTGTTGTTAGGTAGTCCCTCCAACCGATCATGTTGCGTAGGCCCCTCCCACTGTTGACCAATAGCTACCAATTTTCAGCTGCTGGTGAGGTAAGCGTGTGATCCCTCATAACCCATATGCCCCGCCCAGAACTTAAACACAAATCGTAAGCGAGATGAGTGGTCACTGTTTACCCAGTCTGTAACAAAGTAACAAAGGACGTCAACATGAACTTGTGACAGAAACGTCGCTCGTTCTCCGAGTGGTGGCGACCCAGGAGTGTGTTTTTACTTCGCACTCGGTCGTCCTTGTCTGATACATTTCGTTTTATTGTCACCCTTTTGCGAAATCAGCAACAAAATAAAAATTACAAACAAAATACAAAGCACCACCACCAACAACAACAAAAACAACAATGCGGCTACTTTCGATTGTGACCTCAGATAGGAATAATTTGTTTTCTTCTTCTTGATCAGTCCTGCCTAAGACGACCACCTGTCTTATACGGTCACTTTCCTCCTTGACAATGGGTGGCCGTCTTACACAGGTTTGACTGTAGATACATCACGCTTATACGTTTTTAAAAATACATAGGTATGAAATAATAACAGGCATATTACACTTAAAGAATATGGCATCAATAGAAAATCTACAAATTTGGCCCTAGTGTTGATTTTTTATATATTTTTGCCAATATCTCCATTTATAGTGGATTGCGAGAAGTAACTCATTTTGTCAGCTGCTCACCTCACATATTGCCAACTTACATGTATAAACGTTGCTAAACAGCTGGAAGGCAATAGGAAAAGAGACCAGATAAACTGTCAGAAACTGGAATATCTGGTACTTCCCCTTGGAGCCCAACGCTATCAGGATGTCGTCAACGTTGTGAGAAGTTGTTTTCTCCATGGCAACAGCTTTTACACCGGAAGTTGAATCCAAGTAGGATACACGTCACCCCGATCATCAACAAGTTATTCAGGTATACTATGTCCACGATTTTGTTTTTGTTTTTGGAAAAAAAAATATTTGTGTATTCCCGTTTCTTTGCAGTATGATTTTCTATAATTTGAATATGTTCCAGAAATTGTTTGTAAAAATAAAATTCTTTGTGTTAAAAAAGCCCAAAATAGTACATAATTTGGGTACAATTTCCAAAATAAGGAAACTTTTATTCCCTCCTAGCCTAAAAGCGCACCTGTCTGGGCTGAGAACAGCTGAACTGTTTTCCAGTGCGATACAGCAAGTGAAGTCGGAATGATCCGAACTGAATTATTTACCCCATCAGAAGAGATGTTTTGTCCTGCACTTTTCAGATTCATGGATTTAAATTATCATCTATTCGTTTTTGCTCAACGGGTGCCATATATGATCGGTGAATGCAGGAGGTTTCCTGAAAGAAAAAAAAAATTGATGAAAGTGATTAAACAGCAAGAGGCAAGAGAATACATTATAATAAGATATAGTTACAAAATACAGAAATATTTGATACATATTTATATTGTATTTCGATATTAAAACATAAGGAATAATACAATAATATAATCTGTACATGTTTATGCAGTTGCTCCCCAGAGAAGTGTTCGAATACGCCCAATCCTGTATAGCAGAAAATGAACTCTAACGAACAGAATTTCTTTTCTTAGTCTGAATTTTTTAACATTTCTAAAATTATGTGTTTTTCTAATGAACTGTTAATAGTTAAAGTTAATTTCTTGAACATTACAAAACGATAAATGATTCACTTCTACTTGTGTTTACGCATGTATCCGCTTTCATTTGCCTTTTATGTCTGTATTAATATACATAAAACAATCTGACGTAAAATAGATTTCGTTGTCTTATACAATGCCATTCCTATTTTCATAACTAATTTCAACGGTGTGGGTGGTTGACGGGTGCTCTAGAGTGGTTTTCTTCTTCTTTCTTATCAAGCATCTCTCGTTCATATGTGTGTGTGTGTGTGTGTGTGTGTGTGTGTGTGTGTGTGTGTGTGTGTGTGTGTGTGTGTGTGAGTTTGTGTGTATTACGCTCTTGTAACACATCTTATCTTCTGCACTTATAAGAGCTTATTGTGATGCAAGTGTCATAAAACTCTTCCTACAACTACCTCAGCGGTATAAAAAGGAATTGTTAATGTATTTTACAGAAACAAATTTCATATTCGAAATTGAAAATAATACAAAATGTATATTATTATGTCTTTCACTCTTCGCCTCAATTTGTTGTCTGATAGGCTATGCCAAGTCTTCCTAAGCAGCGCTTTCGAGAAACAAGTATGAAACACTCTCGAATATCTTTAAAACGACTTTTTAAAAAATACGACAACGTAAATCATTGTATTATCAACAACCAATCACACAGCACCTAGCAATCATACCACAATCAGCGGAAAATAATGACATAGTAAGCACAACTTGAATGCATGCAGTCCTTGTGTCACTAAGATTTAGTAAGAAGTACTGCAGTAAGACATAGCCAGACCTCACACTTGTCCAAGAGCTCTGTGATAACACACGCCAGAGATGCCGCGGAATGCTTGTCATCTCGGACTAAAAAGGACACCGGCTGGTATGAGCTTTTATTTTTTGAGATACCAAATACAATTTTTTTTAAAAACAAAAGAAAAAAAAAAAGTACATGTAATATCTCATCTTTTGGGGAAGTGCGTGGTAGGGTTGTGGATTCGGAGGTTTTTTTCGTTTGTTTCGTTTCGGCTGGGATTTTTTGGTTTTTTTGTTGTTGATTGTTTCCTTTTTTTGTTTTGTTTTTTGGTGGTGTTTTTTTGTGGGGGTAGGGGAGGGGGAGGGGCAGTAGGGACAGGGGATGGGTGGAGGAATCCATTCGTGCCAGTTAGATACCTAAGTAGAGAGAACAATGTCCCAGGAAAAGTGGAATGTGACGCAGCATACTGTAGAACTGGGACTCTAGTCCTTCCTAGTTAGCACAGGCGTTAGGTGTTTTTCGTTCTTTGTTTTCCTTTTTGTTTTGTTTTTGGTTGGGGGGTTTTTGGGGAGTGGGGGGGGGGGTTCTTGTGGTTTTTTGTTCTTATTTGTTTGTCAATTTGTTTTTTTTTGCGACCGTGGGGAAGGGGGGGGGGAGAGTACGGTTGTACTATCATCATCATCCGGTGCCTCGCCGACTGGCGTGGGCGATCATGTACCTCCACTTCACTCTGTCTTGCGTTGCAGCAATGGTGTCTGTCGTTCTTGCTGCTCCCAGCCATGTTGTCAATTTGTCCAGTATTTTTTCCCTCTGTCTGCCTCTGCCTCTCTTTCCATCAAACTTGCCTGTTGTTACAATATTCTCTAATGCTTCTTTCCGCATTGTGTGTCCAAAGAAATTTGCCTGTCGTGTTCTTATATTCGTGATAAGTTGTTTTCTATAATTTGCTTCAACCAGGATTTTTTCATTTGTTTTTCTAGCTGTCCATGGGATACGTAGCATGCGTCTTATGAACCACAACTCTGTAGCTACAATTGTTCTTGGTTGTACTATAACATTACCTTATTTAGATAGCTAAGTAGAGAGAAGAATGCCCCAGTAAAGGTATTATGTTACACCTCATTATGTAGACCTGGGATTCTAGTCGCTCCTAACTAGCAGGCGTGTGACGTCAGAGAGCCCGGCTGGACAGGTCATGTGACTCCCCCAGACTACCGTAATGAATTGTGCATCATGCCTGGTCTACACCTAGTGTGATCCAGCATACTATTATCTTTCCCGTCGTGCACAAACCTCCTAAGCGCCACCGCCCCTAATTTACAGGAGAAGAAAAAAAACTGATTATTTCCTTTAAATTGTTAATATTTTAGGAACTTTTGCATAAACAATAAATATGATTCTTCACCTTGTGGAACATTTTCAAATTTAATTTTACATATACAAAATGATTCTTCACCTGTTCATGTTGTTTGAAGTAGTAAAATGAATAATTACAAAGAAAAGGGACTTACTAGGTTTCTGCTCGGTCTCCTTACGTCATGCCCAGCATGAATCAACTGTTCAGTTGTACTAAACCTAACATTTGGATTTTTTTTACTTTCTTTTTTTGGGCTTTGTGTGGGTTGTTGTTTTTCTTTTCTTTTTTTTTTTTTTTGGTTGTTTTGTTTTGTTTTGTAATTTGTGATAAAGGTTGCGTGTACTCGAAAAGTATTTTGTCGAAATTCAAATTCTAAATTATGTTGAAAACGAAAAGCTGGTAGGTACATAATTTAGGCACGCTAATATTGTCTTAAATAAATGAGGGAAAAAAAGTTGCTTTGTTTGTGTGCGAACTATCCAACTATTTAGATCCCAGAATGCTGAACAAGCATATTATTATCATTATAAAAAGGCACTTTACACGAATTTTCCTCACTTCATCCAGGTGGGAATGAGTACCCGGCTATAGACAGTGAAAGATCTTGTCAGTTTGTTAGTGTTTGAGCGCTTAATCAGCTGCTTGCACTGTATGGTTCCCAGGAAGCTGAGAATGTTTCTGAGTGTTCTATGGTCTGCTGGGGTAATAATATAGAGTAAAGCACATAGAGTTTGCTGTTGAGCGGGGATATGCGCTACACAACTGCTATTAAGTAGCATTATACTGCAATAAGTTTGGAAAAGGATTCTACCCCAAGATGACGATAACGTTCTAAACGAGAAAACCTTCTTTTTTGGATTTTGAGGAACGAGTTGAGATATAACACTTTGTTATTTATAATATCTTCAAACGTCAACTCGGCACCACAGTGCTTTTATGTCGTATCTTCATTTTTACCAGTGAAAATGAGACATTTTCTTAAGCTCACTGTTTGTTATGAACTGTTTTCACTGCTATTAAACATGGAGATAGGACAGGAAAGCACTGAGGTCGTAAATTGTCTCCAGAACGTCATTTATTGTCTTTAATTAATGCATGAGAATAGTATAATATATATAGGTAGAATTAGGAAGCATTTTAGAAAGCACTGAAAAGCTAATAGCACTTTGTATAACTGCAATATTAAACACAATGATACAATAATGTTACAATTAAGATCCTTTGGTACATGAAATGGACACTTTAAAGTTTTTTAATGTTTAGATGAATAGCCCGATTATCTCCTCTTCGCCAGTGAAGAGGAGAGAAAGATAGAAAAGAGAGAGAGTGAGTGAGAGAGAGAGAGAGAGAGAGAGAGAGAGAGAGAGAGAGAGAGAGAGAGAGAGGGAGAGAGAGAGAGAGATACATATCGACAGACAAACAGACAGAGGAAGATAGAGCGGGAGAGAGAGCGGGGAGGGGGCGGGGGTTGTGAGAAGGCTAGTGAGAAAGAATTTCAAATCCAGATAAACTTTCAGATATCAATAATAATGCGGCTTTGTAACTGCTTCTGATCTCATTTGCAGAGAAATCAGATAAAGGTAGGCCTAAATCGAGAACTGAGAATGGAAATTGTGATCGTTAGACCTTTGGACACCGTACACATTCAGAGAGAAGTCTTCCTTCGCTTCTATTTGTTTTGTTCTGTGTTGCTTTTGTTGCTTTTGTTGTTGTTGTTGTGCTGTCCCACTATCCCCCCCCCCCGCCCCGCACACACACACACACACACACACACACACACACACACACTTCCGTACACACATGACTAAAACATTCCAGACACAGACCTGCCTAGATGAAAACCGAAAAAAACAAAAAAACTCCACGAAATAAGAAGCGACACAGTGCGGACTCTAGAAAGTCTCGAAAGTGTCAACTGTTACTGTTTTTGTTTCTGTAATGATTTGTGTGTTTGTCTGTGGGTTCTTGTTGTTTTTCAGGGCGGGGGGTGAGGGTGGGGTGATAATATTATGTTATGTGTTCTATAGAACAAAGATGTGAGTAACAGTGATATGGTTATTATGATAATATGTTATAATACAGCTGGCACATTCCGCTCAAAGTATATCAACTGACTAAAAAGTATTTAAAAATGTGGTGGAATCAGGCTCTCGTCAATTTTTGGGCATGTAGAGTTATTGGTATCATCCTAAAGCTTGTTCACTAGTCTTTATTTGGATGAAAAAAGTATCCATTTATCTTAAATACAAGTCAAGATATTTGCGAATGAAGGAGGTGGTTTCACCTGTTTTCAGAAGTAAAATTAGTGAGAAAATGACCGCCAAAGATTAGTTATTTCCTTAGCTTAAAAGTCCGTGGTAACTTGAAATTTACTTTTTTTTCTGTGCCTTTAATCAAAGTTTTTAAGAAATGTCCACACTGAAATTAGTTCTTTGATGGGCATGAAAGGTGTTGAGCCAAAAAAAACCCACAAAGATTTGAGAAAAATTCACAAACCTGCGGAAAAATGCAAGTTTCTTTACTTTGATTATTTTGACGAGAGCCTGATTCCACCACGCTGCCTCACTAATTATAACTATCGTCACACAGACTGTGCCTGGGCATAGACGTTGCTGCTGTTCTGCTTCACGTTAGAATAGCTGAGGCATCGTTCGAGTGATAATCATTTCGCTTCGTAGAACGCCCTTCAATGCCCCCTCCAACCCCCCACCCGCACCCCATAATGCCCCAGGGATTCATGGTCGTTTGGAGGACGGATGTATCAGCAGTTTCTGAGACACATGAATGGGCGTCATGCTCTCAGTGGTATAATTGAAGGTAAACGAAGTAGATAAGATAAGATACATCTTTATTGTCCAGATCCTGGCACATTGGTTTGGTGTTTCACCACGTGTATACACACACA